TAATATAATATAATATAATATAATATAATATAAATATAATATAATATAAATATAATATAAATATAATATAATATAAATATAATATAGAAAAACAAAATGTGGAGGTTAGTTTTCTTTTCACGTTTTACTGATTCTGGCGCCAGATCGTATACTGTCACTCTGGCTGTATTTGTCCCACGCTCAAATTTGTTGTACTGATCTGCATTTTTTAATGAAGTTGTAGACTCCATTGAAGCCTGTCACCTCCCAACTTGGCAAATGGGTGACAATTTTCCTAAATCCGACTTTAGTAGAGAAAGTATCTTGAAACCTTATATTACAGATATTCATTGTGCCGTACGCCGTCATCCTCTTCTATCCCACAGTTCCACCTTTCAGCTCAGAACTTCCTGAATTCGTCTCTCCTTACATTATAGATGGCAGACCATTCCTCGTTCGATCCTGTAGAATCGTCTTTTAGACAGCTCAAATCTGGCGCCTTGGATTTTGAATGCATATCGAGACTCATAACTTCTAATTTTAGTTTCGTAAACTCTCTGTCAGTCAGTTTAAAGTTTCATGATAGTCACGTCTAAAATCAAATATGAGATTCTTACCCCATTCAAGCTTATTTTCTTTTCTATGCTTTCCTTGCACACCGATGGCTTTTTTTGCTTTGTGATCGCTTCACAGCATTGTTGTGTCACCTGAAACTGCCTTACGATAGAAGTCATTGATTAAGCGAGATTCTGTATGGCATATATACCCACTGTTTCGTTGACTTTAAAAACGCGTCAACATTTTCCGAGGTTATTTTCCGCGTCTACTTTGTCTACGTTAACTCACGTCTCTGAGCTTCTTACATGAGTAACAAGTAATTTTCCGTCACATCTAGATAGGCCTTAGATTCGTGTATCATATTTTGTTCGAAGTACGTGTTTTTGCCACGGTTTACTGACTCTCCCAAGAATCGTTTCTGCGAGCACAGGCGGACCTGCAATACTAGTGATTGCAGAATTCGCTTGCTTCTTCAGTTCTTAGAGGCTAAATCACGCATACGAACTTTTCACCATGCGGGGAACGCCACAAAACTATCCCCCATCGTCAATTTCTCGTAGCAGTCAAAAACCTATTTCAGCACCTCTCCTGACCATCTGCTCTGCAGAACCTTGATTTCAGACGAGCACTTCAAGCGTGATCATTATACTTTGCACCTGGTGTCGGTACACTGGCAGAGTGCTCTCTCACACTCTTAACGGAGCTTTTTCAAACTCATCTGTTTCCCTATTGTTGTCATTTATGATTCCAAATGCGGATTTTCCACTTCCATCCTCCATTTTCTTCCCAGACTTCTTATATCTGACTGCAAATCAAGACAGCCTTCTTCTTTGGGGTTGTAAACTTTTTTGCAACAGTCTTTCTCCCTCTCTGTTTATCCCATCATATCTTTCTTCTTTACCTTCTTTCCTTGTTTCGTTTTCGTTCCTTCAGGAGTACTGCAACAAGGGGTTAAATGAATATTATCGTTATTGTCCATTACTTCTTTTCGCTTTTTAGATGTCGCTTGTGAAGTGGAAAATTCTTCAGAAACAAATCCCCCTCCACTAAATAACTGATCGTATTGTGTTGCTGGAATTGCCGTTGTATCACTACCAATTCCACCGTTCTGACGTTTTTGACTGCAGATACCATTACTGTTGTTGTTATAACTGATTGCACTGGTGCTGCTGTAATTATCATCATAATAATGTCTCCGTAGCAGATATAGATAGAACAAACGTGGGAATAGAAATCAGAAGTAGTGAAGGAATAATGTGCGATCTCGAAGATCAATGCAAAGTCTTCCGTTCATAATTACTGCACACTTGGTTAATATACCTTCATATATATGTTGATAGATAGACTGATCAATCAAGCAGTCTGTTTATCTATCATCCATTCCTTCTTCGATTAATTCATCGATTCAAAATCATTCCGATCATCTTTGTCTTTTTCAGTTCAGAATACATGAGGAAGAAGAAGATAAAATTGACAGGTCAGTGGTGTCACTCATTTCAGCGCTCCACTTTCCTAAACACAGTTACGCAGTTGAGTTTAGAATAGTTATTCTCGATTACAATTTCAGTTTCAAATCGACTTTTATTTTCATTTGAACTTTTACATTCATTACAAAGATCTTACTTTGGCATTTCCCTGATTCCAAGCCTTATAGCCCCTATCAATCATGCTATCTTCTTTTGTGCTCACTGTATGTTCGCAGTCAGTACAGAGTAATTTAATTTGTAGTTTTTCTCAATTCTCCTATAATTGACAGAAGCATAAAAAATTTGAGCATCTACATTTTTCCATTTTGCAATCTCTTTTTTGGATTGTTTGTAGAGTCATATCTGATATCTGAAAATTTTTTACAGAAAAAAGTTTATCAATTGAAAACTTTGACTCGAAGTTTATCAACTGAAAACTTTGACTACAATGACTGGAAAAAAAAGCATTTTTGGAACAAAACTACTAAATTTTAATAATTTGAATAGTTCAAGCTCAAATTGTATGTATTTTTGAATTAACTGATATCATAAGATTTTTGGTGAGAAACGTTCAATAATATTGTACAAAAATTAACGGGTTACGTTATTGTACTCTATCTTAACAAAATTTTTTGAATATAAAACTTCTGGTGTAAAGGTAAAGCGCAATTTCTTGGCATAATTTTATCAGCATTTCCTATTTCTGTCAAATACCAGTGTGAAAAACTTAAATTGTTTTTTCCAGGAATCATTAATAATTTCAAATTTCATTTTGCTGTAAACAACATCACCAGATTTATCATCAGTAGTAATGCAACACAACAGCAGCATTTTATTATTGCAGAACCTTCACTAATTTTTATTTATTATTACCTCTTTCTTGATATTTTTCATAAGTACCTTGATAATTTGTAAGGCAAAATCACCGATATTGATTGAGAATACGTATATTGAAACTTTTCCTTGTTATATGTGGGCTTTTTCAAAATGTAAAATCTATCATATAACTGATTCACTTTCAGTCTCTAAATAAGTAGTTATTTTCATTGTTTATGACTTAATATTCTTTACAATATAAAGACAGGATGTTTAATTGTACGAAGGAACTCATTAATCAAGTAAATTTAATAATGAATAAATGGTTCGGAAGCAAGCAAATTAATGACAGTTAAAGGCAGTTAATAGGTTGATTTATCTGAGCATTCTAGTTATCCTCAGTATTTCTAATTTTTTAATTTATGAACCTTACTAAAATTGATAAACTTGTATCTTTCACAAGTTTTTTACTCTAAATATTTGATATTACTTCTTTATATTCTTTTAAATCATTTCAGCTATAACAATTTTGTTCCTAATTTAATACTTATCAAACATTTGAAGTAAGTTGGGCTGTTTCACGCTATTTCTTGATACTAGCAACAGTCTAATATTTTTAAATGTTGAGATCATTTTCAAATTTCCGTCTCTTTTGCAAAACTAAACAGAAATATTTCTGCATTACAAAGCGGCTAGATGATTGTGCTTTCTAAGTATCATAATTGTCATCATGATTTTCGTTACAGAAGTAAGGAATGAATTCATTGAAAGCTTTGCTGAATGCTAAATCATTTGAATCTTTGCCAACTTCAAATCCCGAAGTAACAAACAATAGTTGTCGAAAACGAGGAGCGCTTTTAGAAGAATGGTTACTCCGCAAATTTCCTGAACTATACAAAAAATCACACGATATTGAATGTGCAACTATTACAGGAAATGATGTCGAGAATCAACCTCTAAGTAAGTATTTTTTTACCCTGAAGAGCAATAGAAATGAGTTCAACTATAAAATAGCTTTGTTCAGTCATATTTGATGCAAATGAATACGCAATGTCATGCAAATGTTTGTATCATATCATGCGTTACTTAAGTAAACTAAATCTTGCCTTGTTAAAAATTTATTGTTCGTATGGTAAGGTGTCATGCCATTTCACTATTATCTGATTATTGTTGTTGTCACATTGAGGAGCATTTTCTCTTTTCCTTTCACTTCTTGTTCACCTCCTCCTCATTAAGAAGAAACTATAATTCGACCTCGTTCTTTATCGTTTCTTTTACGAATTACAATTCTTTTCAGAGAAAAACTCTCTTTTTGTTTCTGGTAAATGAAAAAATATGAACAGTCAAGAAAATAACAAATGTTTTGCTGAAGGCATGACTGCATTAAAAATTTTTCCATGAAACTATCAAAATTTAAAAATGGGAGCTATTATATTCTGCAAAAGCTACCGATTTGCAGTTTCTAATTCAGTGCTTCTTATGATCATCCAGATTACTAATAGTTATGTTTTCAACTGACACGTTTAAGATTTGGTGAAACGAAGCAGAATAGATCTGGAATTGAAAACTGACGCGTGTGGAACGCATACAAGTTGTACAGGTCATCTGTCACCAAAGAGTTTGTTTTATTTAACACCTTAATTATAATAGAAATGTAGCTGTAAAAAAATTTTTGTACGAGAGTATTGAGAAGAACGGAATAAAGGCATTGCGTTTAAAATTTTGTTTTATAGCATTACGAATCAATAGTAACAACCTTGTAAATGTCGAACGCACAGATTCCAGACAGCAAGTAGCATCAAATGATTATTGGGTATTACCAAAAGGAGATTTGATTAGTTTGAAAGATGAACAATTGTTAAAACAAGTTGACAGCGGTAAATGTACTGAAATTGTTACCAGTAATTTTTTTCTCTCTTTGAAACGTTGCCCATTATCGACGATAACTGACCAAGTTTTGCACGTTGCATGCCAGATGTAATTTTGACTCAGTACCATTTATAGAAGAATAAACGTTTAATACTTGATTAATTTTTTGAAGGTTATCGAAGAGAAGTGAGATGTTGCAAGGACAGTAGCACTGAAGTTGAAACTGATAAGCCTATAAACTTATCGTTATCTAACAAACGAAAGCTTGACTGTTAGTCTCCTTTTTCTGTTTTTGTTATTCGCATTTTAGAACCCCTTTTTAAAAAATATTTGCTACTAGTCAAGTAATACTAAAATATGTTTCAATTTTTTGGTTTTAACAATTTTAATCTTATAAGTCAATATAACAACTTATTATTATCGCAAATTAGCAAATTTAGTGGTAGTAAGTTCTCTTGACGACTAATATATGAAGTGAAAAAAATTACTTACTGAAGATTCGTAAATATTTTTTAGATAGGTTATGGAGAGAAAATATTGACGGAAAGGAATACTTTACAATTAATGGGGGAAAAGATATTGAGAAGGTAGGCATCAAAAATCAAAATTCTTTGACTGCAAGTGAAGATGTTCAAGGCACGAGCAGCATGCGGAGTGATGATAAATATATCACAAATAGCAGCATCAATTTATTTGCTTCAAATAAGCAAATAGTGAAGCCTTTGAATGCACCTAAGTTAACGAGGCATAACGATGCAGCTTACTATCCAAATATTCAGTGCTTACTCTGTCGTGAATGGGTGTGTTCCAGGAACAGGTAATTAATGATTGATATTTGACTAAATCATCCATTTATTGGTCACTCAGAACATACTGCTTGAGCCTCAGAACTACTTATAAGTTATTTGATCTATCATCTTTATACTTTATTTGGTGATTCATTCTATTAATAAATTATAGCATTCAATTTTAGAATATATTCTTGTACATTCTTATCCCTTTTATTATGTTTTGTTAAAACATTAATTTTTATCCTATCTGTGATTATTTTGAATAATTTTGCTGGTAAAAAGGGACAAAAAAAGTGCAGAAAACAAATAAATTGCCATACTTCAACAAATATCATTTAATGAAAATTTTGATCAGGACAGTAAAGAGATATTTGCTGAAACATGCATGTATTCTTCTTACTTATAGTGAAAATGTTTGAAAAAATACTTGCATGCTTACAGTAATAATGATTTATCGACAAGAGTATAACAAGTGAAGCATTTCAGCGTAATAACAATAGCAATATTAGTAATAACAACCATTTTTATGTTATTACTAATACTAATATTGCGATAGATTCCATTCGCGAAGAACAGTCTTGTTTAATTGAAATATAAATATATTTTATAGTAAAATTATCCTCACAGATTTCGAGATCGTGCTTGAACAAGTGAAATTAAAATATTTTGGAAAATTTTATAAAATAATGAAAATAAGTCAAGTTTTTATTTGTTAAAAGAGCTTTTAAACGCTTGATATGCATGACTTTACTGTGACTGTCTTCAGATATATGCACGTGGAATCCCATTTGCAGTATCGCCCATATAAATGTAGTTTTTGCGGATATGATAATCGAAAAGAAATATTCATTATATTGCATATTAAAAAAATGCATGGCGGTCGCGCTGAAATAATTCGTGATATTAATACCGAATTGGAACACGAGTAAGCGTATTTTTTAGGCATAAAAAATTGACTGAGTCAAGAAAGCAAAAAATGACTAATATTTAGGAACTATGAGTTTTTTAATACCCGAAATATTTTAATTTTATTGGAGTAACAGAAGTAAAAACTTGCGATATTCAATGCGACTATCAATTACAGAGCATGGAATATTGCTGAAAGATGTGTCGAACACACTCGAGATGTGCTGTTAAGAGCACGTCAGGAAGCTATACAAGCTGCTAGAGCTTCAACTTCTACAGAATGCGCTGATTCGACTGAAATAAACGAGGCGTTAGTTACTAAGCATCCAGCACAGGTTGTTCATTATGTTTTGTACTTTGTTTTTGTCTACTTATAGTAGTAGATATTTTTGTTTTCACTTATTTTACTACTGTCATTACTGCTTTTATTCTCTTCAGTACGTTTTTTTTTTAATCGGAAAATATTTTTATAATAGATTTCAGTACCGCCCCAAATTTGAAGATGCTCAACGCACTGAAAAAAGCCTGCTAATCGAAGACGTACCAAAAATGGACGTTCCTGATTTCAGTGAAATTTCAAATCGTGAAGTACAATGTCAGGTGAAACTATAATATAATTTTTCTATTCTTTCGAAATTACTTAAAATAACTCTGTCTCAAATTACATTATTTTAATTAAATTTTCACAAATAATGCAGCATTCCCAATCGATAAGTGAACCAAAATTTTCATGTTCCTGGACATTCGCCGCCCATTAATTAGTGTTTAAACATTGCATCAGGCCTTATGTTAGTAATAATGACGATAGTAATGATGACAATAATATCGGTAAAACAGTAGTAGCGAAGGAATAACAGAAAAAAAATACTTCATTACAATATACAAGATATATTAGTGAAATTTAAGAGAAAGCAATTTTTCTAGTTTATGTAGGTCGAGCCTTTGTAATCTAATTTGATTGATGAGGTATTCAGTTAAGTCCTTGTATTTGTAACACATGTATTGATAACTTTGCAATTATTCAGTTAAATTATTTATGAAAATTAAGGTGTCACTAACGAATCTTTCTTTCTTTAATTTTTCAAAAATCATGAAAAAAGTTAAGATTATCAGTAGCGAAAATTGTTTGCTACTGATAATCTTAACTTTGGAAAATGATTAATGTTCTTTCCATAAACTTATTTTCAAAAAATTGCGAGTATTTGTACCAAACTATAATAATTAAAAAGGTATGATCATAATTTTCTAGTTGTAATCGAAACCTAAGAACTAGCCTTTCAGTATATCTATTTGAATCTTTGCATACTTAAATAGATAAACCTTTTTGTTTAAAAGATGACTGAAATAAAATTTGATAAAACTTCAAGAACAATATTTTTTTATTACTTCATTTTAGTTGACTTCAACTTTTGAATCCTTTGTTAGAAAGCATCATTTGATATGTTTAAATATTTTTATCATTAACTATTGTTTTGGCATTCTTGTTTCATTTTATATCTTTTCAAGTTCGAAATTTAAAGTTAATTTGCTTCAAAGCCACTAAAGTGGTAATGTTATCAGACAGTACCTGCACCTTATTTTAACTGCACCTACCGGAAAAACTCGAAAAGATGTTTCGTATATTTGTCCTCATTCTTATTATCATTCAAAACCATACTATTTAAAACCTTACTGTCATATCTCTTTTGTGTAATTAATTACATGAACCGATTTTACTTCGAAAGATTTGTTTTGTCGAAGTTTAATATTTGTTTAATATTTGTTAGAAAATCTTGCTTCAATGAATCAATCAACTTCAGATGACTGACACAACATTAACTATTTCAGATTTGTAATTCCTTCGTAATTTCACACATACCCGTTATGGAGGAGCATACTCGATTACACCTAGCGCAACCATCTTACCGGTTTAAATTTATACATTGAAATTTCTTCATAGAACTAAATATGCAACCAGTTATATATATTTATAGCAAAATGCCAGCAAAAAAAATTAACTTGATTGAGATTTATTATTAGAGAAAATAAATGTTTATTTCTTGCAGATGTTCCATTGGAGATTGTGCACTAAAGCATCATTCTAAAAACTTTCTTACTCGACATATGAAGGAAGTTCATAAATTCAAACAAAATCCAACCGATATCTTAAAATTGGATCTAATTCTGAAAAAAGAATTTCGTAAAGTATGCTTTGAATTTGTATCTTTGTAGAATGAACATCATCAAGCATACGAAAGTGAACCAAGCAAAAATTAAAAAACTGTTGCATGATAGATAATATATGGACTTGCATATATTGAATATATGTAATGCGTAGTGATGCAAGTCATTATATCTATATTCAATATAGTAAGCATATGTTGTAATTGAATCATGCATATTTAGTTATATTATTCTCAAATTTAAACAAACTCGACTGATTAGGTTTTTCTTCTACCGATTAAACAAATTTAGCTGAATGAATTGTTTTTAAAATTACGACGCATGGTGCGTTCATATTGATAAAAATCTTTATAAAATTCATTCCACAGAAAAAATCGTCTGTGAGTTTTACAAGACTTAATTTGAATTCTGGAATAGAATCTTTTTTGTCACAATAATTTCAGTATTAGTACTTTACCATTTTTTCTGTTATTTTTTCTGATGCAAACTCTTATTAACTTGAATTAGAAATTTAACAGTAATAAATTAACAGCAAACGTGATGAAGTAATGACATTGAATCTCGTAATGACTTTTATACTACAGACTGCATCCCGATGCTTTCCGAATCACTTTCTGAAGCAGCATTCATCATTTAATTTATGTCGTCAATCACCAACAACACAAACTTCAGCAGTGAAATCATTAATAGAAAGCAACTGCAGCCTTCAAGGTAACAGTTCGTCTTCGGTCCCTGTTTATGGCACAGTTTCATCTACGTCAACACTGAAATCAACTTTGAATTTTTCCTCTTCTCCAAGTCCCCAGCCAACGTTAGCATCAGTGCCAGCGACTACCACTTTTCCCGAAAATGCCTTAATACAAGCTACAAAGATAGTGAATGATACTGTCGCATCACTGCTTCCATTAATTCCATTCCCATCTACCAACGAAAAGACCATTTCATACCGACAACATCTGAGTCTACCCAGTTCTCAGACATCTAATTCACAATGTAAATCCGTCTTTCGTAATGAAGAACAAGACCGGTCTCAATGTGTTACGTTGACTAGTCTTCTGACAGCAGGACCCAAAAATAATCCTGCACAGGTTTTCAATTTCACTTATTGAACACACATCCAAAGATTGATTTTCTTCAGTTTTGCAACTGCTTATTATTGATATGTGAATACTCATTGTAATTGTTAAAAAATTTGGAAGAAAATCATATTTTGTTTGTTTTCGTTTATAATTTCAGACAAGTGTGCAACAGATGCAATCACAAACATCACCGAAATTATGTAGCTTTTGCGAAGAAGTATTTGAAGGCGATTACTTAGTCTTGTATAGACATGTAAAGCAACATTTAAGCATATTACCATATGAATGTTCATCTTGCAAATTCAGTGATGTGGACAAGAAAGCAGTTCAAGAGCATATTGTTCAAAACCACAATATGAATGCCACTCTAATTGATAGGTAGTACATGCGCATATTTAAAAATCTGATATTTTTCTGTATTTTGAAAATTTCCTTCTGATAATTTTTTCAAATTTTTAATACAGAGTGTCACGACCATCTTTAACTGCGACTTATAATTTTTTGTATTGACATCTGCATAAATTTAATAACTGTCCCCTAATTTCATAGTAAATGCCTTTCAAACATTCTTATGCATTGATAATTTAAACAACGCACCTCAATTTAAGAACAGTCTTTAAATTCTTCAGTTGACTCCAAGTTTTCTATTTAGCTTTCATAGTTCAAAATAAATTGCGTTCATAAAGCAGAAAACATGAATAAATAATATGGAAGCAAAATAGTCTCAATCATAATATGCAGGTAAAATATTAGATGTTTCATTCAAAAGACTGATAATTATGTCAGCAAGGTTACTATCAATTTCAGGATGACCGACTCAGTATCCCGTCAGTGTTCTGCACTGTTTACAGCTTGTTTCCCGAACGTACCTCTTCAACCATTACTGCATGATGGTGTACGAAAGTTAATAAATTCGTAAAAACTGCTGATAATTTTTGCTTTCTCTTCCATAATAGAAGTCATGTATTGAGAAGCTTAGCTTATGATAGTTGCTCATTACATAAACTTCCCATAGTTTATTACAATACTTTGTGTTACTTTAAATGTTTTCAGTCCTTCCTCATATGTCGTTTAAATGAAAATTTTAAGTTCTTAACTCTATTGCTTCATTTCGTTTTTCTAGAGCTCATTTAGAGCTCAAAAAAAGTCAAAAAGTACTAAAGAGCATAATTTCACTTAAAATATTGTTTTTATTTGAATGCTTTGAATTATTATTTCTGAATGATATTGAGTAAAACTGCTTCTAAAATTTGGAAAAGAAAGAATTAACAATGCGAGTTCGTAAATGGAATCTGGAAGAAAGTTAAAATCATAAAAGAGTGGCAAGAACGATTCTATTATATTATTGCACGATATGGGTCATAGGTCAAGAGAATGCTCTAGAAATACTCTGAATTATACTCACAAAAAGTGGCGGATACTTTATCAACCCATAAATATTTCTGATTAGATATGAAAGAGAGAGTGTAATGTAAAACTGCTAAAATAATGATTTAAATGACAATAAAACTCAACCAAGTATTATTAGCGGTTTCTTAGCTAAATTTTCCTGTCGTTTCAGAAACGCAAACATTTAAAGAAAGTTGCAACTCTAATATTACTATCGTATTGTATCGTATCGTAATCGCATCGTTCATCTTAGTGAAATAGCGAAGAGTAGTTTTTTATTTAAGTGCATATATCCTATCATAGGAAGTGATCCATTGTATGGATTTTTGGGTAATTTGACTGCTTTCGGTTCATTAATTGTAATACTTATTACATTATCAACATTTCTCTCTATCCTACTGCATTTCAACTTTCCTCGTTCTCAACCTTCGCAACAGATTGGCAAGTTCTAAGTTCAGAAAAGCAATACGAACCAGAATCAGAATTTTTGAGCAAAAATAGTAAATAAAAATTGCTTTGAACAAATTCGTAACTTTACAGCCACCTATCAATAATATTACTCCACCTTCTCAGCACTTTTGTTTGCTCGGTTCTTGAACAATCTTCAAAGAAAAAACGCCAATTAATAGTGGCTCTTTCTATCTCTGAACAGCTTCGCGTCTAAAACATTTCTTTTAAGTGAAAATCTACAGGTGATAGCAGTTTCACATTCTCGATCAATACTTGAGTTAGCAAGCCATTCACTCCGCTAAACATTACATTCATTCATTCATTCATTCACTCAACCAACATCCATTTATTTTTCTTGCACATATAGATAGTAAAATTTCATATATAATAAAAATTCAGCTCCTCTCTATTTTTAATTGTTTGTACAAAAACTGTACGACTTTTTGATTATACTATTAGTTTAACTAGCTTGTCTATCGTTTCAGTGGTTAAAATATTGCAATTAATATTGTCTTTCACGAAAATGTGGAAGCATTTTCTGATACATCAAATTTTGACTATTCCTGCACTTGATAAACCTATACAAATCACAAAAATGAATATATATGTATATTATTTATTAAACTTACGTGGAATTAACTTAAAAACTTTTCTTCTCACAGCCTAGAGTAACTGAATGTTATCAAATATCACAAAGAACAACAAAAGCTTCATCCAAATACAACCAATAGTATATTTGAGAACAAGAAAATAAGCTGTCTTCTTACGAGATTTATATAATTCATTGAAATTAATTGTATGGACAGAAAACTTTAATAAATAATATTTATTTTAAAAAAAATAGAAAAAGACAGTTTAGTATATACATATATATAATCGAAACCTAAACTGTAAGCAGTTCAAACTTGAAAGATTTATGCAAGTGCTTGTTGTTTTTTATTTTTTTATTTTCTTACAATAACGCTATTTATTTAATGGAAAAAAAGTTATATGGAAAACGTAAAGGAATGAATGAATGCATGGATGATTACACTGGAAGTTTTGCGCTGCATAATTTTCGTTGCGTGGCTCTCGGATTTTGGTGGTTGCTGTAGTCAAGATGCTGGACGATTATTCGAAGATCTGCTGGCTGATTACAACAAACTTGTGAGACCAGTAAAAAATGATACGGATACGCTAATTGTTCGATTTAAATTGAAGCTTTCGCAACTGCTTGATGTGGTTTGCTAATTGACAGTACTTTTGCTTCTTTGTTTTATCTGAAATGAAAAATTTTATAAAACAACCTTTAATCCTTTTGTAAGTGAATGAATATTGACTTAGATATTTTTATGGTTTGAGAATTGTATATTTTATTTTCCAGTATTTTTATCACAACATATAATTGAATATTTAAGAAAATTTTATTGCTACTTGCTAACACTAGTATTTTGAAGCTAAGCAAGACAAAAATTATTTTAAAAAGCAGTGCAAGAGTGGGGTAATGATTAATAGATTGTTTCAGCACGAGAAGAATCAAATAATGACAACAAATGTATGGCTTCAACATGTAACTTTTCATAATAACTTTTTGCTTTGAGAAACTAAAAAATAATTTTCATCTAAGTGTTGAAATGAGTGGTAACTGTAATAATACCCAAATAATGCAAGTCAACATTTTTTCGAGCTGGATCGATTTTAAACTAAAGTGGGATCCCGCAGAATATGGCGGAGTCAATGTACTGTATGTGCCTTCAGATATGATCTGGCTTCCGGATATCGTATTGTACAACAAGTATAGCTCTTTCCTCCATTTTTTAAAAAAATACCCTGAAAATTCTCATATTGAAAGTAGCAACCTTGTAGAACATGATTATCCTATTAATCATTATTTCTGATTCTTGTATTTACTATCTCTTGGTATCATTCATTCAGATCAGTTATTTAATGCTTACCTTATCAAAACAGTCATTACCTTTGATGAGAAAAAACAACGATTCTAGCGCAGATGGTAATTATCAAGTGTCGATAATGACAAAGGCAAAATTATTGTCTAATGGGACAGTTGAATGGTCACCACCTGCAATTTACAAAAGGTTTTCCGTGTCTTTTAACAATTCGGTAAATATTCTTAGTATTAGCATGATTAATTTTGAATTCTTAGAATAATTTGCAAGACAGCAATTTTAAAATTAATGGTTTGGTAATGATTTTGTTGGAAATCCTTTAAATATCACAAACGTTTGTTAGATCTGGTTTTAGCATGTGCCAAATAGATGTTGAATGGTTCCCATTTGATGTGCAGACGTGTGAAATGAAATTCGGTATGAACCAATTTCTTGTATTTTCAAAGTATTCACTTCTTTAAGAGTTACTGAAGTATATAATATTAATAAAATATAAAAAATAACATATATAATACTTAATATATAATAGATAATTCTTAATATATAACATTATAATATAATATAATATAATATAATATAATATAATATAATATAAT